TAAAAGTAGGTATTTGCCCACCTAGAAGCACCTGGCAAGAAGGTGGGCATGATCTGTTGGAAAAAGTTCAACTACTTTAAAAACTAAGATGAAAACACATGATCTGATATGAACACAGTGAAAACACATTATATTCACTTAAATGCAATAATCAAACGGTGGCCTCCATTGCAACTGTTAATATTGCAACTGTTAATAAAGCACAGGAATTAATTAATTACAAAGCACTGTGCGAATTTCGCAACGTTTTTGTACACATTATTTATCGTACTGCAATTGCAAGTAGTAAGAAACCTAAGACTATAATCCTTTTCATATGGGCTATTCATCAGATGATAAGCTTCTACTCATACTGCTGCCCAACCTCAATTATCTAAGAACTGCAGTAAATCTAGTCACCTGTTTCCCTGAATGAGGAGAGAAGTTAGGACCAAAATGTAATTTGCTTTCACTGCTATGCACTAATCAATAGTGTCCTTAGAGATAGAAATGTCAAATGTGCATGTAAACAAGCATCTAAGAGACAAATTTTTAAACAAGTGAGAAACAATTCTGATATTTGAATGCATTGAATTATCAAACCACAGGAAGAAACTGATGAACAAGGCAAAGGTGATAAAAAGGATAAAAATGAAGAGCAAAAAACAATAATTGAATGAATGAGAAACTTCATGAAGAGTGGCAGCTAAACAAATGTATAAGCACCATATTATATTAAGTAATGTCAACACTAGCACAATTTACTCATTTTCACCTTGTCAATAATTCCTATATTCCAGGCCTCATTTTTTGGATCCATAAACAGGGTCGCCAACAACATAACGTGGATGAGCTGCATTAAGGAGAGGAGCTCGAGCAGCATCATAATCATCATCACTGTCATAATATTGATGTGGCCCAATGGCCCTAAGCAGCAAGGCGAAGAGCAAACCTAATCCCTGCAAATGACAGATGCCGGTGGTCAACCACATGCAATCAAAAGAGGCTCAAAGAAAACTTGTTCTTGTATCCTGGACAATCTTTTACATTAAAAATAGGGGGAACAAGATTGCAGAATCTCATGTTTGGAACAAGAGCAGACACATTATATCATTTTCTAACTAATCCAAAAATGAAGACAGGGCTGTCTATATCAATAAATAGCATAGTTCAAAACCAATAAATATTGCACAATATTTCACGGTTGACCAAAGGATTTTGCTGTTGCTGAACAAGCTAATTCCAGTGTAAAAAAGCAGTTGCTATGCGGTATATGATTCACTGTTGCCCTCAATTCAAGACAGAGATATATACCTGTACAGACACAACAGACAAGCCTATCCACTTGCAGAATTCAAAGTTTGACCTGATGAAATCTTTGAACTCATTAAAACTTCCACTTGGGTCATTTGGAAAGTCCTGAGCCAAACAAATAATTTTTGGTAAGCATCTGTTGTATGCTGGATCCTAACAAGTTCCCAGGAAATCTAATTCTTGGCCTTTAGATATGAAATACCTCCTTCCAGTCACGGTTCAGAAATACATCAGCAGTCACACCAGCCTCCAGTAAAAGAAGGAAGAAGATGAACACCATATACTAAAAGCATTTAAGGCAAAACTAAAAGGAAAAGGAAAAAAAAAATCCATTTGGCACTCTATTAATAGTTCTTAAATGATCCAACACTACTGAAGCACTAAAGAGTGTTTGCTATGAGAATAGAAAATAGAAAAGCAAAGCAAAGAAACAGGGCACTAGAAATTAAAAAGAGTAAAATCATTATTATTCTCCCATAATATTTTAATATATATACTAAACATGTTTAAATACTTGTGTGCTTTGTTGGGCTTTAGCTCATTTCAGTACAACAGCCTGCTTAAGTAAGCCATCCTAAAATCAGGCTAGGGCTAGGCTTGCTTGTAAAATGAGCTCAAGCTGAGTCATGCTTGACTTTGAACCAAGCTCAAGAAGCATGCGAGTAGGTTGGCACATTTACAGCTAGTTACATGGATACAACAATGGTATTTTATGAAAATATTACTTCCTAATGCAAACCTATACACAAAACTACAAAAGTTGGATGAAAAGGGTGAATTTGTAATGGTATTTCATGATTCAAGAAAAGGATACGACACAAAGACAACAGCCATTAGCAGTTTCAGCAGCAATATGACCAGAGCATGTGATCACACACAAAACAACACCAACACCAAGGAAAGCATATATAAACCTGCAATTCATTGAAAAAAATGATGGTTTAAGTTTTAATTGTATAAAAACCTGCAATTCATTAAAACAAACTGAAACAAACATTCATAGAAATCTCTGTTTTTAAAATAGAGCAAACCAGAGATTCAACAACCTGATTTCACTACTTTACTTCCAATGTATCCTTTAGAAGAACCATTAATGGGAAAGAATTGCAAGATAATTATAATCTACTGATCTATTTAATGGGTAAAAGAAAAGAAGCATTGTTTCAAAACTGTTATGAACCTCCAAACAGTAACAAATAATGCCTGTAAGATCTCCTGACAAGAGTTCTATCCACTAATTCTTCCCCAATGTAACCCAACCTAGATACCGTAAAGTGATCAAAACTTTTAATTTTAAGTGTTCCATCCACCATCCTCTCAGCAATAAAAGGGAAATCATGAGGAAGGGAAAGGGAGTAGTAATATACAAATAAAAAATGCATATTACACTCAAATGCAGTTCCTTTTTAAGCTTATCTATACAACCTGGAGAGACATCTTTAACCAAGTTGACTCTTAGATTTAACAATCTATTATCTATCCACTAAGCCATGCCTTATCAATAATAATATGATTTGAAAATTTTATTTCCTAGAAATATATTTATGGGATGAAAA